AGCATCAGACCTTTATTTGATATAGTCAATGTGTCTGTCAGAGGCGTTATTCTTACCTCAGAGTTACAATTGATCAAAGTGACGACATAGATTATTTTGCCTTTTCTTTAACATTAATTTGTCAATCCATTTTAGCTGATTCAACCTTCGGCTCACATCATTAAGTAACGCCAAACTTAAACTTGAAAACATCTTATGAGAAAGCCCTTTTTAGAAATTTGATTCTATCTATTGGGTTCCATATCCCTATTTCAACTACGCTCCTTTCTGGTCCAACATATTCTTTGTTCGATTCATGCTAGAGTTGTTAAGACAAACTAGATTTAGGCAAAGAAGCTGCTAAGCATGCTTGCATAATTTAATAAAATAAAAATATCCAATAAACTTTCAAAAATTAATCGTTTTATGACAAATGTTTGTCTATTAAAATTAATCGAAAAATGATGTATCTAATCATCAGTCTCATAGAATCTCGTCAGCCATTTTGTTCCTGTTATGCCATAACCTCGATTAAATGTGTCATTAATTCTGCTTACTATGCGAAATTTATACACTGTCTATAATGTGTACTTAATATTTTCGAGAACCTCTACTCGTCGGTCCAAGAAAAAAGTCATTTACTATTAATAATACTTTATGAATACTTCATGGAATGAAACTTTACAAGAATTACCCAGGGCCCCAAATATGGTATCCCAATTGTTTTAACGATCTAGACAGTCATCGACTTTTAGTAGAATAAATATGATCTTTAAATACCGCTGCATAAAGAAGATATATGAAGTTTCTGTTTTAACCAATAAAGATCCCTTAAATCAGTGACGAATATAAAATACACAAGAAATAATCAATTTACTGAAGGGCCACTTGTTGCTGCTTAGTCTAAGTCAACGAATCTTCTTTTCTGATCACCAATTATTCACTGACTCAGAGGTAACTAACACCAGATGTTTTCCGTATTATTAGAGTTTCGAGACTACCAGTATAACACCAGATGGGCTGTATTTTTTTACGTAATAGTAAATACGACAAGTGACTGACTAAATATATTATAAAATCAAAGTTCAAGAATTCCTTAGACAGCCAAAGTAACTAGTTAAAGAGAAATAACTATAAACGTTGTGAGTAGGTTTGGAAACTATCAATATATTATTAATAAAAACCAGAATTACCCTAAGACACTTATGATAGCTGGATTTTTCCAAAAAATTGAGTAGAAGTAATCACGCCACCATAACATCAAAATAAGCCTATCCTTCAAACAGCTGTTATCACCCAGAGCTGACCACTCATACCAATTCTACTTGGGCCCTGTTTTTGGACCATGGTGAGATCGAAACTACAGTCCTTCTTGGATAAGAAAGATTCTAATGAGGCAAGACATATCAAAATGGAATCGCAAACTCCTTAAATCACCTTAAGTGGCCTTAGATGACTCAAGATCTTAATAAAAAATGAGTCTATTACTTTGACATTAGTAAGCAGAGAAGTTGTCCCGGATCTGTTATTGTCGTCACTGTTGCCACTTCACACTGATTTGGATTAGAACATTCATTGCTGCGCTTTGGCAAATGATTTAGCAATGCTTGACCACTCTTAGAAGAGGATATTTCCACTCTTGGTGTCGACATAATCATCTTCATAGCAGTAGAAACCGGCTCTACTGACCTTGATGAAGTAGAACTCAACTTAGAACTTTGGTCTAGGGTCAAACCTCGCGTCTCCAGTGCCATCAGCTCGTGTAACTGAGTAAGGGAAAGGGAACAATTGTCTTCTGATCCGGCTGAATATAATTCTTGTTGGGAAGCTATAGTTGCTGGTGAGCAAAACATCATGCTTGCTAAAAGAGTTTCAGGCATTGACCAACTTGGAACAGAGTTCAAATGTTTGACACCATGACTGTCCCCTGAATTTAGAAGAGGCTCAGAGCGATTGGAACATCCCGGAGCAAGGTCATCTGTTTTGGTATCCGTCCAGATAGGAGAATAGGTGTGGGTTTTACTTTCAGACTGCATTTTAGTCTCTCCTTCATTTATCGTATCAAATCTACCATTAAATGGCAGATGAAGCATTGCCGTTTCTGATGGTGGCGTCGCACCTTTATCCTCGTTTGTCGATGTCATCATTGCTCCTGCATTTGTTGGCTGTAAAGAAAGCGAATGGGGTGTGTGGATATAAGCTACCGCGGAAGGAGGTATCGTGTGGGAAAATGCCCCTTGCTTTTGTTGCAGATGCTGCTGTTGGACTTGCTGCGGTTGGCCGTGTTCTAGCACTAACGGGCTGAGAGAAGGCGTATTGTGTTGCCGAGCTGAAATTGTATTCATGCTAGATAGAATAGACTGAGCGGCCGGATGATAGGCCCAATATGGGTTGGTCTGTAGTATCTGTTGAACAGCCAGGAAGTTCCCAGCCTCAGCAAGCAGCTCAAACCCAACTGCAGTCTGTCGTTTCCATTTGGTTCTAGATTTATAACGAAAGGAGTTTATCATCACCAGTTAAAAATGAAATGGAGATTTGATACAATGAAAGTTAATCTAACAAAATAGTGTATAGAGGAGACTGCGACCACACAAAAGGCCACATCATCTTGGTCTTCATACCTTCGATCGAAAATAGTGTATATTCTTTTAAAAATGGAGTGTGGCATTTACGATAATTTATGTTAATTCTAACTTTACGTATAGGGTGTTTTCGAGAGAAGATAGAATGAAAATATTAGTAGCGCCTAATAGGCCATCTACCTTGATGATTCTTTATATTCTCATAAATAGAATTAGTATGACTTTTCAAGTAGAAGAGGTCTTAATAAGTACTTTATCTCGATACATCATCTGGCAAAAGTAGTACAACTCCCAAATAAATCGATTTAGAAATAAACTTGGCTATTCACTGCGATTTGATTTGTGTATACTTTAATGAGTTTAAGAAAGAAAAGATGCAGTGAATGATACTTTATAAAAGAGCTCAAACAACATCAAAATTTATCGTATCAATGCTATAACAAAAAAGTGATACAACAATATTTTGACTAGATGTGTGTTTTATGTATGAATTTGAAGAAAGAAAATCTTAACAGACTGGATATTATCATACGACGTTGGCTGAAGAACTCATATTTACAGCCTAATTTTAGCATAAACCAATAATGCAATACTGCCACTAAGGAAAAACAACAATCAGTTCGATTAAATAATTGAAAACTAATTTAATATAGATTATTTCAGGTTGTATTCATTCAAGAAGTGGATTGACCTCGTTTTTGCAACTTAGTATTGTCAGGGTGACTTAGTTGGATGCTCCTTGTCCGAAGTCCTTTGCCAAAGTAGTTATGATTATTCCCAGCATCAGACATGGTACATTCTCAACACTTCGCCGGCATCGTAGTCGGCATTAATAGTCTTGCCAGTCTCAGCACCAAGCTACAACTCACCAGAGAGAAAAGGGAAGTCAATTCTTTGAAAAACTTTCTGCTGAAACGGGTGTGCTATCACTACTCTTTAAGTCCTGGCCAATCTATCTACTTCTTATCCACTTATCCTACTTCCATCCTATCACAACTTCTGACTTGTTTAAATTCTACTCGTCAAAAGGTGTGCCCTTGTTGGCAAGTCTAGTGTGACCTTGTCACACCCGCTATTCACTTAGCTCCTCTCTCTTTCGATCGGTTAATCCGAATCCGGCCTCCAATCCTGATCTCCCTTATGGTCACGGGAGTTCACTGCATAGGACGCAGCGCCAGCGAACAGAAATATATTGCTGAGACAGGGATAAAACTCAGCATACGAATCAAGGAACATCAAAGGTTCTGCAGGAAAAGTGATACCAAAAGATCAGAATTAGAGGAACGAGATAACTTGGAAGGCAACTGAAAGAAGGGCCTCATAC